TGTCTGCATCACATACTTGCAGGGCTCAGCTGAGACAGTCAGAAGATGGCCTCAGATCCCTCTGGAACTGGAGTTACAGACGGTTATGGGACACCATGTGGATGCTGGGACCTGAACCCTGGTCCTCTGCAAGAACAGCAAGTGCTCTTAATTGTGGAGTCATTTCTCTAGTTCCAGACAAACCTCACATGCTTCTTCCGCTGTCACCTCAAGCCCTCTCTTTTCCTCTCCCCTCCCTCACCTGTCTCTTTTCAGAGTCTCCTGGTAACTTCGTCTGTCCTCAGAAAGACCTTGAATTCTTGACCCTCTGTCTCCTGCTTCCCAGCACAGACATTACAGTAAATTGTTCTTTCTTCTTTCCTCCCTCCTTCTCTCCTCCCCTCCCTCCTTTCTTCCTCCCTCCTTTCCTCCTTTTATTTTTAAAGCACTGTGGGATGAAATCCAGGGCCTCTGGCATGCCAAGACAAGCCCTCTACTACTGAACTGTATCCCTCAGCCTTACTTCCTTGTAAGAATGGGAGGGCTTGGGTTGCTGGCATACACCTGTAATCCTAGCCCTGGTGAGGCAGGCAGAGACAGGAGTGCTGGGATAAACCGAGGCAAGTTTCAGATCTGCATGGGCTTCAGAGGTAATAATAATCCTAATAATAAATAAACACTTTGCATGATTTTAAGCTCATGTGTGACATGATTTGACTTATACTTTGAGAAGAGAGCTTGTCTGTGGTTGAAGAGTGGGTTTTGATGTATAGTGAACTCGGAAGCTGGAGGCCAAGTTGAGGGGTGTTTGAGAAGCAGGACAGCCTGTTGGGTGGCTGGAGTAGGTACCCCCCCAACAAAGATGACACAAGCTTTTTGTTTGTTTGTTTGTCTTCCCAGTGTTAGGGGCTGAATACAGGACCTGACCAAGTTAGACAGTCATTCTCCCAGAGAGCAAATCTCCAGCCCCTCTTTTGTTTCTTGTTCTACTCCTTAACTAGTGTATGGCCTTGAGCAAGCTACAGAGGCTTTCTGAACCCTTTTGTTTGCCCATTTCCGGAGTGATGGGAATTCTCTTATCTTATTAGCTCTACTTGGTGGCTGTATACCTGGCCTTTTAAGGACAGCTTCCTTCCCTTGGCTCTGGCTCTGGCTCTGGCTTTGGGTAGATAGTACCTCCTTGTACCCAGGAAGTATGTTGCACCCAGTACCTAATCTGTGTGAATAAGTTCTGGGTTTGCTGCAAACTCCAGTGACTTTTTGGTCCCCTCAAGAAGAGGCAATGCAATTGCTCAGGAGACTGGTTGAGGAAACTCATCTAAAAGTCACTGCAAGGGTCACAGCGGTTTAGAAATCGGCTGAGAAGGAACCCCAGGGACTTGTTGGTCATGGGTGTGACCTCCAGCCTGCAAGCTGAAGTGAAGTCTCACCTCTCACTGCTCTGCAGAGCTGTGGCCCCTCAACCAAGTTACATCGCTTCCTGCTTTACGTTCTTGCAGTGGAGGGAGGCCTCAGCGTGTGGCTTGCTGCCTGTTTTGGGTATGGCTGTCTACATTTCTTAACTTTGTGTTTGGATGATGTCATACTCTTATGTGTGGGGTAAAAGAACAGCCTTGGGCGCCGTCCTTCAAGCACCATACACTTTTTGGAGACAGGTTTTTTACTGACCATGCCGTCAGCCCTCAGGGATCCACCGGTGCCAGTCTCCCCGGCACTGTGACTGCATCATGCCCGGCTTGAAAACATGTGTGCATATGTGTGTGTGTGTGTGTGTGTGTGTGTGTGTGTGTGTGTGAGAGAGAGAGAGAGAGAGAGAGAGAGAGAGAGAGAGAGAGAGAGAGAGAATGCGCATGTGCATTTGTAATAGAGAGTGAACCATCAGAGGCCAGCTTGTGGGACTTGTTTCTCCATCCCCAGTGCAGGTCCTGGGGATTGAACTCAGGTCACCGGCCCTGGCAGGATGCATCTTTACTCACTAATCATCTTGAAGGACTTTTGTTTGTCACTTAACCTGAGTTCTGGAGATCAAACTCAGGGTACCAACAGAGCTATCTCTCCAGCGTGGTATCTGTGTTTTGAAGCATACATTCACACACACACACAGACACACGCACACATATGCACACACACTCATGCACATGTGCACACACACATTTATGATCAGCAGTAGCTGGGATGGTAAAGGAAGCAGCTATCTCCCTCTGGCATTCAGGATGGAGAATGTTCCAGAACACTTGATATAGGAAATGATAAAGATAAGTCAAAGTTGCCACTGAGAATTTGTGTCAGGGCATGTTGGGGGAGTGGAGTGGTAAGCTAGGTTCTGGTGAGTGATGGCAGGGGTGCAGAAGATTGTTGCTTGCTGGCGGGTTGAGGCACAGCTACGTAGGCTGTGCTTCCCTCTAGAGGCAGAGGCCATCGCTGCAGTGTGGGAGCCTTCATTGGGGCTATTTCAGTGCTGTTCCCCAAGAACTCATTTTTCTCTTCCATTCTCTTCTGAGTGGGACAGGAACGGGACCACCGCCGTCACCTTCTCCTGCTTCAGAAATTGATTTTGCAGCCATAGAGAGTGTCACAAGCTGTGCAGCTTATAAATGATAAAAAGTTATTTCTCATTGTTCTGCAAAGTGCCAGAAGGTTCAACACCTGGCAAGGTACCAGAGTGAACCTGTGTTAGGTGGGAAGAAAGGCAATGGGCTTTGGACTGAATCTGAAGTCAGGATGTAAGGCTAGGCTGTGATGTATTTATTCATTCATTTATTTTGTGGATTGAAAATTTTTTGTTTTGTCTTGAGACAGGTTCTCACTGTGGTGATCCTGGTGGGCTTGGAACTCGCTATGTAAAACAGTCTGGGCTCAAACTCACAGAGATAGCCTCCCAAGTGCTTGGATTAAAGACATAAGCCACTGTGCCCTGCGCTCCATGTAACAGAGTCTCGGGTAGCCTAGGTTGGGGGTAGGCTATGCAGGCCTCAAGCTAGCTGTGTGACGTGGATGACCTTAAACTCCTGGCCCTCCTTACAAGAGTGTACCATCATGCCAGTTTGTGAGATACTAGTGATTGGACCAAGGGCTTCATGCTTGCTCGGCAAGCCCTCACCAACAAAGCTTTGTCCTCCCACACACGAAGAAGCTACATACAGTTGTAGGAGTGGACAAGTTGTGGAGTTCTAGTCTTTTGTTATTGTTGTTTTGAGGCAGGGACCCTGGAACTCACTAGGTATTCCAGACTGGCCTCAAACTCAGAGATCCACCAGCCTCTGCCTCCCAAGTGCTGGATTGAAGATGTGTGCCACCATACCTAGTGAGAGGACCTTATTCTCTTGTCAAGAGACAAAAGAATTGACAACTCCCTCTTAGAGAACCCCACACCTATACTCTTAAGTATTTTATCTTTCCTTCTGGGTCTCTTAACCCTAGTGCTTAAGCCTAAACATCTCTATTAAGGGGCTGGAGAGATGATTCAGTGGTTAAGAGCACTGGCTGCTCCTTACAGAGGACAGTAGCTTTAGTTCCCAGCACCCACTTGGCAGCTCACCAGTAACTCTAGTTTCAGGGATCTAGTGTTCTCTTCTGATTACGCCAGCAGCAGGCAAGCACAGAGCACACATAGGATATGCAGACAAAATGCTGATATCCATAAAATAAGTGAATAAAGTTTTATTTATGCCCTCCAAGACAGAAAACTTAAAAAATTTCCCTGTGGTCAACCATGTCCTTCTACTTTTGCTCCAAGGAGAGCCCGATTTTGGATACTCATTTTGCAGAGAGCCAAAAAAGCAAATTCAACCAGGAAAGGCCACAGTTGTGGCCATTTAGGTCGAGAATCACTGGTCCCATTAGCAGCACTGTGGCCCTTAGACTTTGTAGAACACGGCTAAGAGGATGGAATAAATAACAAGTGCTTTCAGAGTCAACTGGTCTACCTCTGGGAGCTGGGCTGCCTAGTTTCAGACTAGTGCATGAGTGCTTGTCCAACAGGTCTCCAGATGAGACAAAAGCCCACAGAGACGATCTCAAATGGCAAGGACCAGAGGACTTCGGGGCAGTAGAATGTGGCTGGGACCAGGCTACCTGCACGCTCTCCTCTCTCGTAATATTGATGATTGTCTTGGTTGACTTTAGTGTCGTTTTGTCCAATCATGCATGGGACAGATGTGATCATTTCTGGAAACCCCATTTTTTCCCCTCAAATATTTTCCTCTAAAATTCTTTGGATGTTGATACTTCTCAGATTTCTTGTCTGGGAATACCAGCTGTTCTCAGTGCTGACAGGATCGGGGGCAGGTCACCCCATTTCTGTAAATATGCTTTGTATAGGATTGTTAGACCACACTGCCTAATGTTTCCCAAGAAGTTTCACCAAATTGGAACCAAGTATTCAAACATATGAACCAACGGGAAACATTCTCACTCCAACCACTCCACCTTGACTCACTGAATAAGGCAGAGGAGTGATGGATATTATCCCTGACATCACGTTCCACGTGAACACACACATATACAAATGTAGTCACACACATGCACCCACACACATACAAACATTCATATAAAATGGGAGTGGAAGGGAACCTAGATAGAGCCTGGAGTGGGGGAGTGTGGCAGGTTGGGGGTGGACACCAGAGAGCCCTCCAGAGAAAGCAGGGTAAGTGTCCACAAACAACATAAAGGATGGGGATCCTATTACAGTCAGTGCAACTCTGAAGCCACCCTTGAATGCTCCTTTGGCCTTGGATCTTATAGGCCCCTAGTTGCTAAGGCAACAACTTGGGTAGAGGTCAGTTATTTCAAAATACTTGTGTTAAGGTCGTGACTTGTGACTTCCGTGTGACTTCCGCAACAATGACTTAGGACTTGAGGGAGAGGCCTTGTTTCCCAGAACTCTCAGGGACCAGCAATGTTGTGTCAATGAGTGTAAGTGGGGGCGAACACCACAGTGGGAGTCAGGAGACCTAGCCTGAATCTGAAGGGTGGCCAGAGTCCCTCTCCAGCCAGCTCATTAGCGCCCACAACATTCAAGATACAAGCATAAGAAAGCTTTATTTTGCTAATGACTTATCTAGGCCTCTTCTCTTAAATCTCTGTTCTGGGCTTAGCAGGTTAGGATACCTGCTACCAGGCCCAGAGGCCTAGGTTCAGTCCTCAGGATTCACCAGAGCTGACTCCTCAGAGCTGTCCTCTGACCTTCAGACTCACTGGGAGGCGCGTGGGCCGTCAGAGGACAGCTTGTGGAAGGTTCCTTCCACCATGTGGATCCGGGCTTGGTGGCAAGCACTGTACCACCTGAGGATTTTTTCGAGAAGAGAAACTGCATTCCTTTGGGGGTAGGAGATCTCAGTTCTCAAGTTCAGGACAGTCTCAGTGGAACCTGACTTCGGCATAATCGGTGTCTTGGGGATTCTGGGTCTCCCACAGTCTAAGGCGGGGGAAGTTGAGAGCAGCATAATGGAGTTCTTCTGGGTTATTCTCAGAGACAGGGACCTCAGAGGATGACCTGGGGTCCGGGCAGCCAGGAGAAGTGAACGGTGGCTCCTTCTGTCTCTTCTTTGACTCAGGGGAGTCCTGGGACGGGATCCTGGGAGGGGTGTCAGGTTTGGCCTTCCAATTCTGAGCCTGAGGGGACAGCAAACACCTTTCACTCATTCAGCTCGCAGTTGTGCACCTGGCATGCGCCAGGCACTGACTTGAGAACTGGGGCTCTAGCAAGGAACAAGCACACACAGAAATGTAGAAATGGCAATCTCTGAGTGCTCTGAAGAAAAGAAAGCCGGAGGTGGGGCTGGAGAGACAGGTCAGCAGTTCAGAGCACCTGCTGAACTTCCAGAAGACCCAAGTCTGCTCATCAGCACCATCTCCTGGCCAATCCTAGTCACCTGGAACTTCAGGGACTCTGAGCCCTCTTCTAGCCCCTACAAGAACTTCCCACACATACATACACATACCACAGCACACACACACCACATACACACCACACACACAACACACACACCATAACACACACCACACACACCACACACATACCATAACACACACCACACGCATACCACACACACATACCATAACACACCACACACACACATATCACATACACACCACACACACATACCACACCACACACACACACACACACACACACACACACCACAATTAGGAGTAAAAAATAAAGCATAAAGCTGAGTGTGGTAGCACACGCCTTTAATCCCAGCACTCAGGTGGCAGAGGCATTCAGATCTCTAAGAGCTCGAGGCCAGCCTGATCTACATAGTGAGTTCCAGGTCAGTGAGTACACAGGGAGACCTTGTCTCAAAAAAAAAAAAAACTTAAACAAATTAAATTAAAAGAAGAGTCATTGCTATAGATCAAATAGTTTTACCACAGAGAAATAATTCTGAGGTAGAGAGCATATGTTAATTGCTCCAATTTGATCACTGCGCTGTCTGAGTATAGTGGCACATTGCACTTATAAATAGACACAATTGATATATACAAATGCCAAGAATAAGTGAACAGGTCATTCTGGACATCTTTGATGGGGTGATTATCAAGTAAAGAATATTAAATGAAGCCAGGAACCATGCAGTTTCTGTGAAAAAACTCTCTGAAGGAAGGCAACAACAAATTCAAGTATTTGAATGGGGTCTGGGGGCTGTGCTTAAGGAAGAACAAGGTGGGAGATGAAAGATGACGTGGTGAGGAAATGTGCTTGGAGTGCAAGCTGGAAGACTTGAGTTCCATCCCTGGAACCTGAAATTTAAAGATAGAGCTGACTCCCGAAAGTTGGCCTCTGACCTACACATGTGCACTACAGCATGCATGCACATTCCCCTATAATAATGTTGATAGAGAATACGAAATAAAGATTAAAATTTGAAAAATTAAAAAAGCAATATGGCCTCTGTGGCTACATAGTCAGTCTTGTAAGACAAGGCAAAGCTCTCTCCCTCAAAGTCTCTGGAGATGACTTTGGAAATCCAAAGAAGTGATCAATGGTGGGTTTAATAGGAATTGAGGTGTTTTGATTTCTGACTTTTTTCAACTTTCCATTTTGGAATGATCAAAGAGTTACAAAAGGGCCCAAAGTGGAGCCAATGATGTAGCTCAGGGGAGAGTGTTTGCCTAGTGTGCACAGAGCTCTGGAGTCCACCCCTGGCGCTACATAGATCAAGCGTGGTGGCTATGACAGCACTCTGAGAGTGGAGGCAGGAGGGTCAGAAGTTCAAGGTGTCCTTGGCTGTTCAGGAAAGTCCTTGACTCTGGAGGAAATTTGAGGCCAGCTTGAGCTACGTGAGAGCCTTTCTGAAAAGTACGCAGTCACAGAAGTAGCACAGAGAACCCTGTGTCCTTACCCCAGTGTTCCAGGGGTGCAGTAATCACAGCAGGATGCTGATTTCTATACAGTGTGTGACATCGTTACCTGCCTTCTAGGGGAGACTCCTATATTAGCCCCCCCCCCTTCAAAGTGCTCCTATCAATTTTTATAGGCAAGTCTGAGCATGCCCAGAGGCATTTCTGCCAGGTTTTCTTCTTGAATTTTGACCTTAAACTGAGCAGGTGTGTGCTCCTTAGTGTTCAGGACCGTTGCCTTAGCTGAGCATGCCCAGGGTGTGCTCCTGAACTGGGCGTTTATTCTCAGAAGTGTGTTCCTGAACTGAACTTACTCAGGAATGTGTTCTTTATCTGAGTATGCTCAGGGGTGCAAGAATCTGCCTGGCCTCAAGGCTGCTCCCTATGTGAATAAGTCCAGGTCCAGACTGCTCCCATCATACTACTGCAGGTAGATACACGTGACCACCACAGCCAAGATTCAGGACCCTGGATCATCATGGAGCCACCCCCTTCCTGTCCTGCAGAGTTAGGGGATGTTTTTTCCCTAACCACAAGCATGTATTCACCTATGATCTGTGTCATGTAGTTCAGATTGACCCTGAATTTTATGTATAGCCAAAGATGACTTTGTACTTCTGACCCCCCTGCCTCCACTAGTGTTTGTCAGGCACCACTGTGTGCACTTTCATGCTGGGCTGGGGATTTGTGCATTCTAGGAGAGTACTCTGCCACCTGAGATACGTTTCCAGCCTTTTAGCTCTGTGATTTTATAACCTTGCCAGTGAGATATAAATGGAATCATGTGATGTGTAACATTCAGAGACTTTCATCTGTGTGATTTGTCTTATGCATCAAGAGTTTGTTCTTTTTTCTGTCTGAGTTAGCATTCCAGAGGAAGGGTATGCCAGCGTGGTTTCTACAGGATGCCACGTGCAGAAGGGACAAAGACAGAATCAGAGGAGGTCATGAAGAAAGCTGTGGTGTTGAGTGAAGACTGGGATGAAGCGATTTGGGTGGATTCTGGAGAGGATTTGGTGATAGATCAAGTTGTGGGGTGCAGGAGTGAACGATTATGCAAAGGCTTTAGCTTGCTTGAGAAAAGCTGCTGACATTTGCTGAGAGAGAAGCAAAGGGAGGGCATAGAGGGAAAACCACTCAGAAGTTGATTTTGCCTGGGCTCAGATAAGAAATTCCCACTGATGTCTGAGTGTAGATGCTGTCCGGCAGGTTGGATAAGGGTCTGGAATGCAGGGAAGAAGCTGGAGACATGGATGTTCATTTAAGCATCACCAGGTAACTGTGACCTCATAGTTGTACCTAGTGTTTACTGAAAACCCAATAAGGGTCACAAACTCCTCTGAATATTTTACAGATGACATATATATATATGTATATATATATATATGTGTGTGTGTGTGTGTATGGGTGTATATATAGTTATGTATACACACACACATATTCCCAGGAGGTAGGCACCACTATTATCCCAATATTTCAGTTGAGGCACAGAGAAATACAGTGACTGCCTAAGATGATGATTAAGAGGGCGCAGGGGGAATAGGAGCCTAGGCAGCCTACTTTGAGTCCTGTATTTAATAAGTAGGATGTACCATATCACAAGGACATTACTAATTGTTGGGTAGGGCTGAGGATGCCATTCAGTGGTACAGCACTTGTCTGGCATCCACCAAAGAGGTGCAGGAAATGTTGCTCAGCGGTAGAGTACCCGCCTAGAATCCCCTCGTGAAGGGCGAGAGTGCTAGGCATGCACATGTCTCTGGGTTCTATCCCCAGCACAGTAACTACAAATTAGTGGTTAAACACTGTTAGTTAGCCCTTGGTGACGACAATAATGGAAGAAATGTAAGCCACCTATGGAGAGAGCCCATGTTCTGTTCCTCAGACTTGGAAGCAGAGGAAGATGTGAAGGCTCAGAGGGAAACAGGGTTTGGCTCTAATCTTGGATGCTTCATGTCTCTGAGGCAAAGGTGTAGGAAGGGAAGGGAAGGGCTGTGTGCAGAAGTAGCAGGGAATGTTGACGGAGGAAGCACGACTGGAACTCACCAGGGACCTGGGCTTGGGGACCACGTTGATGTAATCCAGGATTGTGCTGCCCCGGGAGATCTTGGGTCTTGAGGTTTCCTCTTGTGTTCCTTTCTTCTGTCGGGTCTTCACACTGAGGAAATGGCCTCTACATATACTGTTCCATCCGCCCTCTCCCTGGAAGCCCAGATCCCAGCCCCCACCCCCAACAGCCCCTTCCAACTCACATGATCATAATGAGGCCGAGGGCAATGAGAGCTGCAACGCCAAAGCCCAAGAGTGCTCCCTTGGAAAAGGCCGTGGGACTCTCCTTACCTACCGAAGAATGAGCCATGTATGTCATCACCATGTGTGTGATCTTACACACAACGGTGGGCATTTGGGACTCCAGTTCCTGCTGCACACCATGGTCAAGATTCTTTCCTATTCCCGTCTAGAAAACGTGACTGCATCCCGGGCTGGGTGTCAGGCCTTAACTTCCGTTCCTCTCCACCCACACTGGGTCCATATTCTCTTGGACTTTGCTCCAACCACGGAGCCCAGTCAGGCCCTCCTTAGATCAGCTCAGTCCCAAAGGGCCCTCACCAGGCAGTAGCAGAACAGAGGCACTCCGGGCCCCATGGGTGTTCCAGGCCTCACAGCTGAGCGAGAGGCTGGGCCAGAGCACCCCATGGAGGCTCAGGGAACTGTTGGCCCATGGCCCTGTGGAGCTGGAGGTGACCTGGAAGGAGCCATTGCTGCCATCCCCCTCCAGCAGCCCCTCCCCCAGTCGCCAGCGCAGCGAGGGGGCGGGCCAGGCTCTGGAGGAGCAGCTGCAGTGGAGACCCTCAGCTTCCCAGGAGCAGGATGATCTGGGCATCTGTGGGGGGGCTGTGGAGAAGGAAGAGAAGGGTCAGCAGGGGGCCCCTCAGCACAGGTCCCAGGTGTCCCTTTCCCCACTCACAGTGCACAGAGAGGCTCAGAGAGATGCGCTGAGCACCCAGTGGGTTCTGTGCAGCGCAGGTGAATTCTCCTTCATGTTCCTTCTGGACCAGAGGCAGCTCCAGCTTCCCAGGCTCTGAAGACTGGGCCGGGATCAGAGTCTGTGCCACCCCGGTCCAGCTCAGATTGGCTGGGGGGTTGCTATGGGTGACACAGACTAGACACAGGCTTTGGCCCTCCAGGACCGGGAGGGAGGTGCCGTTCCTGAGGATTTCCAATACTGGGGAGGACAGGAGGCAGAGTCACCATGAGATCCATCAACCGGGATGCCTCCCATCCCCACCCAGATGTCCAGCTTCCTCTGTCCGTCCTTTCTACCTGTCCTGTTTGCTTGGGAAGCAGTCACTCTCAGGTCCTCTGGGGGATCTGCAATGAAGACAGGGAACTGGCTCCAGGCAGGCCAGGGTCTTCTCTCTGGGTATAACATCCCTCCCAGAAGTGGAAGCTGGGGGTGGGTGAGTCACTCACTGGGTCCCCAACCCAAGCTGCCTAGTGGTCTGCCTGCTGTAAGCCTCCTGTTCCCCAACCCTCTCCCACTTCCTTTCCCTCCTCAGAGCTGGGAGCCTGTGGTGGATCACACTCACATAGCACAGAGATCTCCAGGGTGTGTCGCTGGGAACCCCGCCTGTTCTCTGCTTGGCAGGTGTAGTGTCCAGAGTCCCCAACTTTCACCCGGGGCAGCTCCAGGCCCAGGGTTCTGGAGCCCACAGGGCTGGACCGAGAGAGGATTCGGTCCTCCAGGCTCCAACTCAGTGTGGCAGGAGGATGGCTGTCGGCATCACAGAGGAGGCGCAGAGACTGGCCTTTCTGAACTTCCAGATGTGAGGTATTTCCATGCAACTCTGAGCCCAAAGAGACACACAAAGAGAGGAGGAAATAGAGACAGTGAAAGAGAGATAAAGAAGGTTGAAGACAGAAACAGAGAGACACAAAAATATAGAAGGATGAACACAGACAGAGATGGATATAGACATAGAAAGAAAGAGGCACAAAGACAGAAAAGAACAGAGATAGACACAGAGATAAAGAGGTACAGAAGGATCGGGATAAGGAAAGGGTAAGGGAGTAGGACACAGGGCATGGGAGGCAGCAGGAAGAGTTTGGCCTGCCCCCTCTCTCCTTCCCCACTCCAGACTTTTCATTTCTGACCTTATACCACCTCAGGAGACCCTCGTACCTGACACATTGTCACGGAAAATGCTGATAGCAAGATCTCTGGGGGCATCTGGAAGAACATTATGAGTCATCTTCAGAGGGGGAATGTTTTATTCCTCATGAGAAGTCCCTCAAGGAAAGAAAAGCACCACCATCCCAGGTAAGGCAAGTGACGAACCAGAAATGAAGCATAGCAATCAACCATTGCCTTGCAGGATACAGGCACACCCAGGATGGGGTGCCTTGCTCTACTTCTTTTGAATGTGTGTATATGTGATGAACATGCATGTGTATATAGGTGCACATGTGTGCACATACATGCAGGAGGAAGCATGTTGACATAAGGCGCCTTTCTGAAGCATCGGTGTTCACATTGTTTACTGAGGCAATGCCTTTCAATTTCGTTAGCCAACTTGCCTTGGAGCTCACTTGTCTCTCTCTGAATCAAAGCAATGAGGTTACCAGTGGGCCACCAAGCCTGACCAGTTCTTATGCAGGTTCTGAGAGTCCAAAATCCATTCCACGCACTTGTGTGTCAAACTACTTATCAGCTGAGCCATCTCCCAGAAACCCTCTTCCTCCATTGAGACGAGATCTCATATATTCTAGTACATATATGTGCTATGTAGCCAAGGATGATGGCCTGAAAGTTCTGATCCTCTAGTGCTGGAATACAGATGTGTACCATCACCTCTCATCTGTGTGGTGCTGGGGATGGGACACAGGACCCTGTGCACCTTGTGCATGCTAGGCAAGCACTGTACCAGCGGAGTCACATCCCCAGTACCTCCGTGAACTCTCCTGAGCATGGAGTTGGGGGATTCTCTTCCTCCCCCCACCAGGACTGTGAACAGTCCAAAGCACCATATACTCACAGGCCACGCTTAGTTGGACTGTCCTCCGCAGGCTCTTCCTAGGCAAGTCCACCTGGCATATGAGCTCGGTGTCATGGTGCTGAGGTCCTGGAGTAAAGCTGAGCACCGAGTAAGGGGAGGTGTGTGGTCTGGTTTCCTGGGAGGAGATGGCAGCCCCCATCCAGGAGAAAGAAGGAGCTGGGCATTGCTCGAAGGCCCAGTGAAACAAGCAGACAGCTGTGGCTGGCTGCCCAGGCTCCAGGATCTCAGGAATGAAGACATCTGGCTTGTGAGTCAGGGCTAAGGGAGAAGATGCCAATCCTGTGGCTTCAGCTGCCCCTCCCTAGAAGTGGCTTTCTTTGCTTCATGGTTTATCTCCCACTGTTCCTCCCCCAGTGAGAGACAAGGGGTCTCTGCTATGCCCACAACTCTTACCTTCCACCAGCAGAAAGAATCCATCCCGAAAACTGAATTTCTCAACTCCTCTCTCCACCCGGAAGGAGTAGAGTGAGGAGTCTCTCTGCTGCACATCTTTGATCACCAAGGAACAGTTCTTTTTCTGGACATCCCCCAAGAGCTGGAATCTCCCCTGGGTTTCTGGTTCTATTATTTCTATTTTATCTTTGTCATTTGTGGCCACTAGAGAATTATATGATGAACTTCTGGTGACTTTGAACCAGTAGCCATACGCTGGGGCAGTGTCACGCCAGCGTCTCTCAGGGGAGAAGAAAGCGCAGGACACGACAACACACAGACCCTCCTGTACCTTCACAGTCCTCTTCACCAGGAGCAAGTAGTCTCTGTTCTGACCTTGAGACCCTGAGGAAGGCAGACTTGACCTGTAGCCCCAGCCCCAACTTGGGTCACTCCCACCTTGGGCCCACTCACCTTCCAACACCAAGGACAACAGAAACAGCAGCAGTGACATCGTGCTCTTAGGAGGATCTTAGACTTGCACAAGGTGGCTTCCTTCCCCAGCTGTGACCGCTGGAGTGAGAGTGAAGGGGAAATGTAGGCGGAAGTTGAGCTCTGGGAACTGGTGCGAGACGAACTGCTGTTGGCAAGTTCTGCGGCCATTGGTCTCTCTCCCTTTCTCATCTGCTCTCTCCGTGTCTACTTGCCTGTTGCGTGTTTTGTGGGGCATTTGGAGCTTGGATGGTTGGAGCTGGTTCTTCTCAGACATTTCTGGTGTCTGGGATGGAAGGAGAGGGCTGTTTCTAGCCTGGAGACCTGGCTGTGGATGGATGTAGGTTGGGGCTTTCCCCTTACATGTTAGGTCAGTAAGAAAGCAGAAGTTAAAACTTTGCTGAGTGCCTCTTGAAGGGGGTCCTGGTGGTACAGAGGAGTGAGCGCTTCTGGAAGGAGCTGGTCTCACCACATAAAATTCAGAATGCCTGGCTGACTGAAGTACAAAAAAAGATAATCATTCTATTTTTTGGTATAAAAATATCTCAAACACCTGATGGGACCTACTCATGTTTAACATGAGTATAAAGGCTTTGGTTTGTCTGATGTTCAAGTGTAACTGAGTATTCCTCAGCATGCTTGTTTCTCTTTACCTGTCCAGTAGTCAGGTAAGCATAGACTTGTCTCAGCCCACCCTCCATTCTTCCTGCCTAGCTACTGAGCTCCAGAAGCTCCAACAGACGTCAACACAGCTCCCCATTTCCCCTTCCTCTTCAGTCAGAGATCTGAAGGTCCCACGTGCGATTCATGTATTGATGAGATTTTCCGGATCTGGGGCTGACACTGGTTCTAGGAATCAAGGCACTTAAAGGGTGTGGTGTGTATGGTATACATATGTGTGTGTGTGTGTGTGTGTGTGTGTGTGTGTGTGTAATGAGCTTTAGCAGCCTGAGTGTGAAGTGTTTCCGAGATGGTGATGCTGCTTTGAAAGTTCGTGGAACCTTTGGAATGGGAGTGAAGGCTGACAGAGGTGGTTAGGGTGGACCTAAGGGCTCAAGCTCTGACTTACTCCCTTTCATCCTTGAGATGTGGCCAACTGCCTCATGCTCCTACCACAGACAGGAGCCGGTCAGTCTCCTGCCACGCCTTCCTTGCCACAGTGGACTACTCTTTCTGACATATGAGTCAAAATAAAGGTTTCCTCCCTTTAGTTTCTTCTTTTAGGTATCTTGTCACGGCAATGAGAAAAGTAACTAAGATTTTCTCCAAGATGCTGCCCTGTTACCTGGTCCTCCTTTTCTTTTACTTTTACTTATGTGTGTGTTTCTGTGGTGTGTGTTTCTGTGATGTGTGTCTGTGATGTGTGTTTCTGTGGTGTGTGTTTCTGTGGTGTGTGTTTCTGTGGTGTGTATTTTTGTAGTGTGTGTTTCTGTGGTGTGTATTTTTGTAGTGTGTGTTTCTGTGGTGTGTGTTTCTATGGTGTGTTTCTGTGGTGTGTGTGTGCACATGCACACATGAGGGCAGGCACCCTTGGAAGCCAGGTGTGTTGGATCCTCTGCTGGAGTTCAGGCAGTTGTGCGATACCCGACATGCATTCTAGAAACCAAATTCTGGTACTCGGGGAGAACAGTGTGAACTCCTCACTCCTGAGCCATCTCTAGCTCCCTTACCTGGTTCTTCCCAAAATGACACTTGCTCTTTATAAACGTCTGTATATCTGTGGACCAGGAACAATTCTTCATGAGAGGAGTACAAAGGCAAATTCCACAAGGTGTCTGACCTCAAGGGTGTCTGACTTGATAAATGAATAATCTGTAAACTTCAAAGGCTCCTAAGCCAGGGATGCTACGGTAAGCATTAATGGCAGGAACATATGGCGGAGTGGTCATTTATTCCTGGTAGAAGGAAGCCACTACAAGTGTCCTGGAGGAAGTGCCATTGTCTGTCCCTGCCTGCATTCCTTGAAAATAATGTTTTATTTATTATTTTAAAAAACATGCATTTATACAGTCTATACTGATCATATCTACCCACCACTCCCTGCCTCCAAATGTCCCTAGTGTCTCGCTATCATTCCCCCATATGGGTGTAGCAGATAATACCCTCCACGTCCTAGGGGAGCTCATTAAGACATAGGGTATTCTAAAGAGAGATGAAACATTCCACTCTGTAAGGAAGTGGGTTAAGCCCAGGAAATAGACAACTTAAAGGCTTCAGGAAGTCTCTAAAACCGAGTAAATTCATTAGATCCCCACTCCAAATATGCATAAGCTGTAAGGACTGTTAAGAACACTCAGACAAATTGGGCATCCCAGTCTAGGACCAGGCTAGTTGAGTCATTAGAAGAAACAGAGACCAGATGAACTGCTTGGAAGAGACACTCTCCAACCTGCAAGTTATGCAGGATTCACTTTGGTGAGTTGTCAGTCATCCTGGGGTGGGCTTTTGTGATGGAACAGTTTGAGTCGTTTGTCCTCCTGGATATCCAGACTCAGGCCTGTCTCTGGTTCTCATCTGGGGTGAGAGGATAATTCATGTCTCCATAGAAATAGTGTCATGATCATCAAAATACCAAATAATCCAATTAAAATGGGTATAGGCCTAAAACAGAGAATTCTCAGCAGAAGAATCTCAAATGGCGAAAGACATTTAAGCAATTGCTCAGCATCCTTAGTCACCAGGGAAATGTAAATCAAAACAGCTCTGAGATATCATCTTACACCAGCCAGAAAGGCTAAGATCAAACACACTGATGACTGCTTATGCTGGAGAGCATGTGGAGTAAGGTGAACACTCTTTCACTGCTGGTGGGAGTGAAGACTTGTACAGCTAACTTGGAAATCAATATGGTGATTTCTTAGAAAATTGGGAATCAATCTACCTCAAGACCCAGCTATACCAATCTTGGGCGTATACCCAACACATGCTCAATCACCCCAAGGACACTTGCTCAACTATGTTCATAGCAGTGCTTTTTGTATCAGCCAGATACTGGAAACAGCCTAGATGTCCCCCAACCAAAGACTGGATAAGGAAAATGTGGTACATTTATACAATGGAGCATTGCTCAGCTGTAAGAAAAAAATGTCCTCATAAAATTTGCAGGCAAATGGGTAGAATGAGAAAAAAAAAAACATTCTGAGTGAGGTAACCCAGACCCAGAAAGACAAACATGGTATGCACTCACTCATAGGTGCGTATTAGGAGTAAAGCATAGGATAACCAACCTATAATCCACAGCCCCAGAGATGCAAGGAGAGCCCAAAGAGGGGTGCATGGATTCCCCTGGTAAAGGGGAAATAGAAGAGATCTCCCGGGTAAACCGGGGGGTGGGGCAAGGTGGAGGAGGTAGGTTGGAGGTGGGATGGAGTGGAGAGTAGCAAAAGAGACATCTTGATGGGGACATTTTGGGGTTAGGGAGATACCTACCTGGTGCCAGGGAAATTCCTAGGAACTCACAGGATATTCCAGGTAAGACTCCTAGCAATAGTGGAGACGGTGCCTAAACTGACCTATGTAATTAGATTGGTGACTCCCATGATTGTCATCAGAGATACTCTATCCAGTAACTGATGGAAGCAGAGGCAGAGATCCACAGCCAAGCGCTGGCATGAGCTCTGGGAGTCTTACTGAAGAAAGAGAGGAGGTATGGAATGAACCGGGGGGGGGGGGCGGGTCACGATGGGAACCCACAGAGGCAGCTGACCTGAGTTTGTGGGAGCTCATGGACTCTGTACCAACAGTTAGGGAGCCTGCATGAGACCAAGCTAGGCCTTCTGCATGTATGTGACAGTTGTGTAGTGCTTGGTGTCTTTGTAAGGCTCCTAGTGGTGAGATCAGAACATATCCCTGGTGCTTAGCTGGCTTTTGGGAACCTGTTCCCCATACTGGATTACCTTGCCCAGCCTTGATGCAAACAAAGGAGCTTGGTCCCACCTCAATTTGATGTGTCATGCTTTGTCCAAGCCCATGGGAGACCTGTTCCCTTCTCACCAGAGATGAACAAATGGAAAAGAAAAGGGTAGATGGGAAGTAGAGGGAGGGGCACTGGGAAAAGAAAAGGGAGGGAAAACTGTGCCTGGTATGTAAACTAAATGAAGAATATTATTTAAATGAAAATAAAATCTTAAAAATAACTCAATCATGAAAAAAAATATCCCTCACAGGTGTATTCAGCCACTAGTGTTTTAGTTAACTCCAGGTGAAGTCAAGTTGATAATCAAGAATAGCAATCACTGTAATATAGCCGGGCAGTGGTGGCGCAGGCCTTTAATCCCAGCACTTGGGAGGCAGAGGCTGGCGGATCTCTGTGAGTTCTAGGCCAGCCTGGTCTACAAGAGCTAGTGCCAGGACAGGCTCCAAAGCTACAGAGAAACCCTGTCTCGAAAAAAAAAAAAAACCAACAAAAAAAATAGCAATCACGTTGTCTGTCCTTTTACACATACTTGCCTAATTCTCCTGATCATTCTTTCCCCCAATCAGTTCCCCCTGTTCCATCAGGGTGATGGTTAATCTTGACTGTCATCTTTATTGCATGGGAGGTTAGTGAAGACACCTCTAGGTGTGCCTATGAAGATATTTCCAGAGACAGATCGTGATTGGTGACATTATTGTCACCCAACATGATGACAATATTGCGATGAAGTAGAAAGTAAAAGTCTTAGGATGAGGAAGTAGGTCACTGTAGTGGTTTCCTTAGGGTTATATATTATGCTGATTAGCTTTTGTCAGCTTAATACAAGCAAGAGTTATCTGAGGAGAGAGGACCTCAACTGAGATGTCTTTATCAGATTGCTCTGTGTAGTTGAGTCTTTTGGGGTGTTTTCTTGAGTAATGATTGATATGAGAAGGTCCAGCCCATTATGGCTTATGCCACTTCTTGGAAAGTTGTATAAGAGAACAAATTAAGTTAGTAAACACATTTCTCTGCGGTCTTGCTTTAGTTTCTACTTTCAGGTTCCTGTGTAGGCTTCACTTTGTAATGGATTGTAATCTCTAAGCCAAGCAAACCCTTTCCTCCACAAGTTGGTTTTGGTCAGTGTTTTATCACACCAATAGAAAGCAAACTCTTCAAGAGAACCAGAGTTTGCTTCCCAACATCCACATAAGGCAGTTCATTACCATCCTTCCAGCTCAGGGGATCCAACACCTTCTTCTGGGTACCTCCATTGGAACCAGTGTACATATGGGTATATAAATAAAAATAAAATAAAATCTACAAGGTATAGCCTAGTCTTTTGGCTCTTATTGTCATATGGTCTGTGGATATTGTTAGTAAGAAGGCCTTTATTAGACACATCCATCCACTTTGTACTGGGACTATTTGCCTCTTATGATTTGCCTAGTCTGAAGGCTAAGGTGTACCCCCAAATGACATGCATAACTTAGGTCTTGTTTTGCTCATCCTAAATAAGATTTATTTAAACACCAAGTGTAAGAAAATCGATGTGTTGAATAAATTGCTCCATGTGAAGTATTTTGTCACCATAGCCTGAGCAAACTGACACCTGGTGTCATCTGAAGATGATACATGTCCCACACAAGGCAAGTACTTATATATCT